ATTTATAATTTATGCAGCGCAGACTGTTTGATAACTTTATTCAATTTCTGTATATGTCCTACCTGTAGACAGGAAGAGCACAGGTAAATATGACATTTATTATGGGTTTTTTTGAGGATTGTTTGAAGTTCACTTAAATTAAAATTAAATTAATTTTTTATCCAGACATCAATGGCTTATTGATCCTGGTGTTAGGTGTTATCAATCAAAGTTGTTGTTGCTAGTTTGAGTTGAGAAATACACATTTCAGAATTATCACTAATCTGTGTGTGCATTTTGCTTTAGAACCAAGCAAGTTGACTCATAAAAACCATTTGTTTATTATATCGCAATCGCATATCGCAATATTGACCTCAATAATCGCAATATGACATTTTCCCCAAATCGTGCAGCCCTTTAAATTTGCCTTTTAAAAGAGTAGCTGGACTAGTTTACATAGGTAGCATTTTTCACAGACGCAGGTCAGTGGAATGGAGAAAAAAATGCAAAAAAAAATTATACTTAAAGCGCTGTTTTAGAATGCCTTGTGATTCGCAAGATCTGCAAAAGAGGCGAGAAGTGAGCGAAATGGACAAAGAGGTCTATCTAGCATATGTTTTACACAGAAAAAACTATGGAAAATCACCTCAGTGCTATGCAAAAACATGTTTAGTGTGAACAGCCCCTAACTACTTTAAGTTAAGGGTAACTTCTATCTTAACAAACTATAGTTTCTTCCACAACACTGTTGCAAACAGATGTGAGGTCAGTGGTGTCATATATGAAGCAGCATGTACAGTTTTGTCGAAACTGAAGTGTCACACTCAACTGAAGGTTTGCAAAAGCAGTGGACAAACTAGTTCCCCTTCATTCCGTGCATGTGTTACCTTCCTAAAGACAGAACAGCTGCAGCACCTGCTGATTTTATGGGCATCTTTTCGCTGAAGTAAACACAGTCTCCACACGTCAACATGGCCTTTATTGGTCTTGTTCGCTCACAGACTTTGAGTTTGTTTATGGGGTTTTGAAGTGGCAAACAGCAGCCAAAAGTAAAACTGAAATAGCAAGTGTTTCAACAAATGCTGTCTGAGGATCAATCTATTATGCAAGAGTACATTCTGGGTTGATCTGGTGAGATTTAAGAACAGAGTGAAATAGACAGGTTTTTCCTGCTGGAAAAATGACATTTCAGATAAGAGATTTAGTCCAAAATGGTTGTGTGTTTTTTTCCAGGCAAGGTGTTTAAATCTAATAAGGGGAATATTGGATTATCTGGGTGCAGCGTTGGCTTATATGTGAGATCAGTTCAGGACGGATTGGGGAAATTCTATAATTCTATAAACGCCTGATAATACAAGACAAACCCTGTTCACACACACAATGACTCAAACCAGCTCAAAACATTTCAGTACTGCCACAACCTATATAAATGACATTTAGAAATGGTCAATGCATGTTGATATGAAATGTCAAGCAGTGACAGCAACATCCATTTGTGTGACATACTATATGTACTTCATATAAAATGTGTCGTTTCTGTGTTTTGCTTTTATAGGACACCGTTACACATGGGGTGTTTCAGACCACATGGAATATTTGTACTTTTAAAAATAAATTTGTCTTATGATTATTTGACTAATCTGAAAAAAGGGTGATTAAAAATGATGACAATCTTGAAAATAAAGAAAATAAAAACAATAGTGACCAGTTGCAGTACCTACCATTAACACTTTTCTATATTTAGTAGTGCCAAAAAAAGCCTCACTATTACTAATGCACATTTGCTAGGGATCTGAACTGACTCATAACCCTAAATATTACACTTCAGCGCTCATTCTGCCCTGAATGATTCCTCAAATTATGGGGCTTTTTTAGGAGACGTGTGCTGTTACTTTTACTGTACAATCGACCAGTTTTATGATTTTGTCTAGGGGATGATAAAAAAAAACACCCTATTAACCACCAAGAACACCTTAGCAACCGCAAAGCGAAACATTGGCACCACCCCCAATCCACGTCTCAAACACCACTAATATTTTCTAACTAAACATAACCAAAAATCTTCCAAAAGATTTTCAGATTATTAACAGTTATTTTTGTATTGTCACGGTTGACTTGCAGCACACACGAACTGGATGCAGGAGTATCCAGCAAAAACAGTCTTTATAAATCCGTAACTGACAGGAGACCGTAGGGGAAACATAGGAGAATCACAAACCAACATAATCCACAATCGAGAACCGACAAAGAACTGAACTGAAACAGGAGTATATAAAACACATGGCAAACATAACAACACACATGTGATACTGATACTTAGAAACAAAGGACATAATCTGTAACCAAGGTAACCAAAACTAAACAGAGCACGGAAACAGGAACTAAAGGAAATGAAACTTACACAACTTAAGAGTCCATTGAAAGGAACATAAACCTGAAATTACACCCCCCTCCCAGAAGGCCCGTGGGGGCTCTGGAGGGAGGAGTAGAGCTGGCAATGAACAAGACCCTCGAGGAGCTGGCAGAGGAAGATCCCAAGGTGGAGCCGATGGAGGGAGGAACAAGGGGAGACCCTTTGCTGATGGTCCGGGCGAAACCTGGAGACCCAGGTGGAGCCAAGAGGGAGACATTACAGGGCAACACCACAGGCCTGGAAGTTCTATGTGGAGCTGTTGGCTTACGGGACCAAGGTGGAGAGGAGGGCTCGGCATACTGGGGCGATGCAGGAGGTAGTGAGGACCAAGGCAGAGCCGGAGGGAGGGAGGGAGGAGCCAGAATTAGCTGAAGGGGTGGAGGGACTATGCGCAGCCGAAGGCCTAGAAGTCCATGGCATAGGCAGAGAGATGACTGATAAAAGCGGAGCTGGAGGGACGAGGGAACTCGGTGGAGCTCGGGGGCTGACGTACCACGGTGGAGCTGAGGGAGCACAGAGCCGGGGCGGAGCCAACAGGCTGAGGTGGAGTTATGGACCTGGAGGCCCGAGGCGAAGCAAGGGGATCTGCATCACCATGCAGAGCTGGGGATCGTGAAGCCCGAGGCGGTGCCAGAGAGGGTAGAGCCTAGGAGCTGAGCGGCACCACCGGAGCAGGCAGATCCAGGGGAGTGAACTGAGCCAGCAGAGAGGACGTAAATAATGGGATACAAATCACATAGAGAAGGATCAGGTCAACAACGTAATTCCATAGGTCTGGTTGAAGAGAAGAGAGGGTGAGGGTGGGGACTTTGGTGGGAACTAGCTACTTATTTCACATATCAATGAGCCAGAGCTCTGTTTCTCGCAATCGCTGACTCCTTGGCAACTACAGTAGCTAAACAAAATACTTTATTTTAGTTGTTCAAGCAACAAAATAGTTTCTTTTCTGGTTTTATTTAACTATAACAACCCTGTTATTTATCAACTATATACCATCAAAAAAAAAAACGTTCTTGTCTTTCCTGACAACACTGCAAACGTTTTATGCTCTGCAATAATTATTAGTTAACTACTGAGGGACGTGGCCAGTAATTTAAAAACTGAGTGAACCGTGACCGCTGGGAATTACTCCCACTACATCCTGAATCAGTGTTTACATCACAGACACTGCAGCTCTGCTCATTCACCGATGTCAGCCCTTCACAGCACAACAACACCATCTTATGAGCACACAAACATGCTCTGTTGTGATACGAGCACCAAAAGAGGAGTTCAATTTACAACATGATTATAGATTTGCTTGCTCACAGGACTATTTCATGCAACTTGTTAATAATATTTGTACTGTATACTGTAATACTGTATAATATTTAATACATGAATTTCTAAGGCCTCTAAATGATCAACACGATCAAAACGTTGCTGAAAAACCAGCTGTACACAATCTATATGCCTTTTTTCACACTTTTTTAGCAAGTCAAAGGCCTTTTAGTATAATTGTAAAAATGTTCACCTTCAGATCGTGGTGCATGTGTCTTTTTTTATAAAATGAACATAAAAATTAATTTCATATTGTTATTAATATTTCAAGATGAAACATTTCCTGGACTGAAACAGCATAGGTTTACTTGATTATCCAGTTTTGTTTTGTTTTTTAATTGTGCAAATATATTAAATATGATCTATCAGGTTTTTGAGGAATGTTTATTCTCTCAATCATCATATTGCATTGCATTATATGTATTTTGCCTTCCACAATAAAAACTACAGAGCTTTGATCATAAAACTAAGCATTTAAATATCACCTTACTAAGACATATTATTGGTAGATATAGTGTGACAACTGATAGTTATATGCATTTTGCATATAAATGCAAACATTCGGTTCATTCAAGATCTCACTGATGTACATCACAAGCTATCATTTTGGCAATACACTGTAAATCAACTGCACCAAATTTGATATTTTTGCTCAGTCAGTGTTTTATTCGTCCTCGAGTATGAGCTCCATATTTTCACTATTTCATATTATATGAATCACAAAAGCCTAATATATCAAATATGATACAAAACAAAACACATTCACAGACTTTTTTTTCTATTTCTTTTTCTATTTTGTCATAAAGGTTCAATAAACTGTTCAATTAAAAAAATCAATTAATCACAAATTTACTCATTTGTTTTGTTGACTAGAAATAGAGTAGCCTAGAGTGTGAAATTTGAAATGCTTTTCTTTGCTTTAAATTGCCCAAAATCCTAAAACACCCCTTAAAACAATCCTAAAACACTTTATTTTCAAGTTCAAATGAAAACCAAAATCCCAGATTTTCAATGTGGACTTTTGGACTCCACTGTAAGCACCAAAATAATCAAGTAAGCACTTGAAAACTAGCTTTGTTTTAACCCGTAAAACCTGCTTTGACTGCTGTTGAAGACAAATAAAATAAAATAAAAATCGAGTCTAAAATAAAGTAATTCATGTAAAACCATGAACATTTGACATCCTCCAGTGAAAAATGACAGTTACGTCAAATTGAACACAAAACTGCCTATTGAAATGTCTGTGTAATAATGTGACAAATGTTAAGCAAACACAGCTGGCTCTTACTCTGAAGGTTTTGGTGCTGGGGGACGGAGAGGAGGGCGGTGAGTCCGACAGGGACTTTCTGGAGCGAGAGGAAAGGTCCTTGCGCGAATAGAGCGATGACATCTCTCTCCTGGATAAAACGGACGATCCCTGACAAACGCAGGCACCGTTTCACACAGCTGTGCAGACGGCCATGACTGCAGGACATGAAGTAGATACGCTCAACAGGTGCAAACTTGTCCGTCCAGATGATCACGCGGAGTGTGTTTCCCGAGACTGACAGGCAATCTGTGTTTCTGTTCCTCCGCACGGCACCGTGGTCATTAGAGAAAAATGAAAACAATTAGAAGCACCTCTACACTTCGCTATCTCCACTCCCTCTTTCTCTATTTCCGTCCCACTCCCTCTCTCACAAACGCATAAAAACAGTTGTGATCTCCTCCAGCTGATGTTCTCTCTCTGACACTCACTCATTCATACAGACACACAATGAGAGCTAAATAAGGAGAGGACTTTTCTTTGTTAACTTTACAGACGGCTGAAAGCCCTGCCTCTCTGTTCTGTCTACATACAATTACTCCACACAAACTCTGAAAGAACAAAACTGCTCTCACTCGGTCCCACTCAGCTCCGTCGCTCTCTCACAATCTCTCTCTCTCACAGTCTTTTCACTTAGTTGTTTTCTCATATTCCTTCCCCTCTTACTCTGGCTCAGTACGAGGTGCTTTAAGTGTATATCTATTATATTTTACTAATTTAAACAAAAAGATTGTAAAAATGTTACTGTAAAAACCTGTTGAAACAAACTTAAGAAGATTTAAAATACTGTGCATGTGGCATATTAAGCACTTTTATGGGGCTTATTTTAGATTTTGAAAGTCTCAGTCCCCACTGATTGTAATTATGGAAAGGAGCGAACAGTACATTTCTTCAAAAATGTGAAAAATTATTAGATCCATGCACTTTAAATTAAGTGTCTTTAACTACTATGTACTAAATTTTTAATTAATCACTTGATACAGTGGACTTATTGTGTACATACATGTTTTAACAGTTAGGCCTATATTTTTTTAATTCCTGCCTGTAATTGCAGCTGTAGTTAATTTCTGTAATTACACTGTTGACCTTCACTTCCCCCTTAACCAACCCTTACACCTACCCATACCACTAAACCTGTGAAGTGAAGTAGGACAACGTCCCACCAGTCCTTGTTTCGGATTCTCACCCACAGACGACTGGTTTTGGGTGTGGGGAGGGGCATTTTTTCTGCGTGATAAATATAAGCAGCATGGCACAATGTTTCATATGATCATTGTTTCTAAATTATGCCCAGAAATGGATAAATAATAAGTCTGCTGTTTAAATAAAGAACCAATGTAAGAGAATAGTTAGTATGTGCAAACAGCGGGAAACTATTCGTGCAGTGTGCGCATGTCAAAAAAACTATTCCAAAGCTTGTGACATATAAAAGCGCACGTCAATCCGATCACATGTTTAGCGTTCATGTAAACACTACATTCAGATTCATCGATTGGAATGAATTCAGTTCGATTGAAACAAACGTTGTTGTGCATGTAAACGTAGCCATTGTCTGATCACCCAAATGGATACTCAGGGGCTGTTTACACGACACCGTTTCCAACTAAAAACGTACAACTTTTTAAGCGTCTTGGCCGTTCATTTGCCTGAAAACGTAAACTTTTGAAAACGGGTTTTAAAATGCAAGTTTTTGAAAACTGTCTCCATGTAAACAACAAAAACGTGAATCTGTGAAAATGATGACGTCATGCACATGCGTATTACATGTTCAGTCTATAGTGTTTCATCTCCATCTAATGGCCTGGCGGCAGAATACAGCATTTTTAGTTGCTTTCACTGATCCGTGTGAGAAATTCGTGCAGAAAATTCAAAGGAAAAACTTCTCCATTTTAAGCATATTGTTGTCATGTAAGCGTACCCTCAGAATGCTCCTTACTCCTGCTGTTGCTATGCAAGAGAGTTTTTACTTACCTCAAGCGATCTCCTTGTGTACTGATTCAGACTCTAATTCTCTATTTTATCTTTTGGACTAGACTCAATACCAGCTCAAGGCCAATGATATCATACCTACCAGTTTTACTTCCCTGTGCTACAATATATATCACCAACACTAGTTTCCTGACTACTTACAGTGTACCCACTTTCCATCCCCGAACAGATGGCCATGGATGAGTACATTACAGAGGCACTTCAACATGGCAACATCAGATCCCTGCTGCCCTGGAACTGTTGAGAGGAGCCAAAGTCATCAAGCTGAACTTTCACAATGTGTACAACCTCATTTGAATACGGCAGGGGGTGTTAATGAAAGACCGCCTTTGTGACACCCACAAGCAATTATGAATATCAGGTTATGTCGTATTAGGTTGACGCCCCCTTTGTATTCTAAGGCTTTATGAATGAGGTATTCTGGGAGTACCTCAACCACTTTGTCATCATCTACATTCATGTTATCCTTGTGTACTCCCAGAATGAGACCGAACATCACCCCCATGTTGCGCTTGTGTTGGAAAGGCTCTGGAAGTTACATCTATTCCTCATAGCAGAAAAGTGTGAGTTCCATCAGATGGCCATCCAGTTCCTGGGATACAACACCAGCCCTGAAGGAATTCAGTTGGACGAGGGGAAGGTGGAAGCAGTTAAATCCTGGCCCGTTTCCACCACTATCAAGGAACTTTAATGCTTCCTAAGCTATGCCAACTTCTATCACCACTTCATCCAGAACTATATTTCCATCCCTGCTCTGTTAACATCCCTGCTCAAATCTAAGCCAAAGTCTCTGTCCTGGACCCACCCCACACCTTCCAACAACTCAAACAAGTGTGCAAGTCGGCTCATCTTCTAATCCATTCAGATCCAAACAAACTCAAACAAAGTTGATGGCTCTACCTCTGGCATGGGAGCTGTTTTGCCTCATCAGCAGGGAAAGCCTCCCATCCATGTGCCATCTCCCATTAGCTTTCCCCGGTGGAGCAGAATTACGACATCGGCAACCGAGAACTTCTTGCCATCAACCTTGTGTTGGAGGAGTGGTGGCATTGGCTGGAGGGGGCCCATCATCCTTTCCTGGTGTTAATGGATCACCTACACCTACAAACCTACAGTACCTTCGAAAAGCTTGCTGCTTAAATCCCTGTCAAGAACATTGTGCCCTCTTCTTCATTCATTTTAATTACTCCATCTCGTTTCGTCCAAGGGCCAAAAATGTCAAGGCTGATGCTTTGTTTTGCCTCTACTTAATTAGCCTCAGAGGAACCTAAAACCATCTTACCTCATGAAATCATCCTCAGTCCTATCCAGTGGTGCCTAGACGATCACATCGCAGAGGCTGCCACCACGAGCCTGCTCCGCTGGGTTGCCCTGTGAATAAGACATTTTTTCCCACCTCTCAATGTCTTCCACTCATGGGATCAGTCATCAGTGGGCACTGGCCACCCAGGGCCAACAGGACCCTCTCGCTTATCCAGGACTGGTTCTTGTGGCCACGTATGGAGGTATGTCTAGGGATGTCAGGAATGTGCCATGGTTAAGATCCCCAACACCTACCATCTGGGAAACTGTTACTGCTCCCCATGGTCCATTGTCACACCTGGGAGAGGATTTTATAACAGGTCTCCCTCTTTCTGGTGGGTGTACCTGAGTGCTCGTCTCTGTAGCTCATTTCTCCAAAGAGAATTCTCTCTGATTCCTCTCATACGCTTACCCAAGGCCATGGAAACTGCAGAACTCATCTTTAATCACATCTTCGGAAAGAATGGTATTCCAGACGATATTGTGTATGACACAGTTTATCTCTCATGTGTGGAAGGCATTGTTCAAACTCATCAAGCGCAGCGTTAGTTCAGACAGGCCACGTAGGCATAGTGCTGCGATCAGCTGACGCGGTCAGCTGTCAAATTGCTCCAACCGCTACCATTCTCCTATTAGACCGGGAAGATATATATACGTGGCATTACTGCTCGGAAAGCATGCTCAAACTGCTCGCAACCCTCCCACCCTCACCACTATAAGTATCAAGCATATTACTGTGCACCTTCTGGCTGTCATCTTCTTTTGTTTCAGATTACCAAGGTTTTCAAGTCCTATAGCTGCCTAGGTGTAACCATTAACCTGTTATCTAGATATCAACCACAAAGCAACAGACAAACCGAACGCAAAATTCAGAAGACTGGTTGCTTCCACTGTACCCTCTGTTATCACTGCCAGAACAAGTGGAGTCACTTCCTGTCCTGGGCTAAGTACGCATCGAACTGACTCCGCCATTCCTTCAGGAAGCTCACCCTCTTCCAGTGCATGCTCAGTTACCAACCTCCTCTGTTCCCATGGTCTCAGGTAGCGAGAGGGTCTAGGACTTAGCTTACCAACACCTGCAACAGAAAGTGTGGCTCTCCACAAGGGACATTCGGCTCTGTCTCCCCTGCAGAAATGATGTTTTATTAACAAAGTTAGGCAGAAGCACGTTCAGATAATTAACACGGGTGGAGAGCACTCAGCAATCATGATTAAAATGATGTTCCATTAACAAAGTTCGGGAGAAGCACGTTCAGATAATTAACACGGGTGGAGAGCACTCAGCTATCATGATTAAAACGTGTATATATAGACGCAGCAGTTTCACCTCATTTCTCTGACAGTTTAGCAGCGTCCCTCCACCACCCCTTCTCCACTCTTCTAGTCCTAAACCACTTTACATACGGGGGGAGTGCTCTGGGTTCGGGCCGAATTCCGAGCTCGGAGCCCTCCCCCCGGACAGCACGCCAAATACGCATTATACTTTATTCCCTTTAATTGTATGTAAGTGTGATCTCGTGAAAGTCCCTGTTATATTTGTCCCTTTAATTCATCATGTGACCCTCTGTTTTGTCACCTGTATTATTATGGTACTTATCAATATATTTTAAAGTAAAATACAGATTTTCAAGTAGTAAATTATATTAGTAAATTGTATAGTACATGCAGTTTTGATGTATGAAATATAACATCTAAATCATTATGACTTTATTATTTAAAGTGAATTTTTGACAACCACAGATACCATTTTTGACAGTGTTATAGTGTGTGCAATCTGTAAATGCATACTTTAAAGTGAACAGACACATACTAAGAAACACACCCATGAACAATGATGGATTCAAGATTTTGTAAAAGGTCCAAAACTTGTTTACAGTGGCCCTGCCCCAACTGCCCACTAGCTTTTTCCGTGCCATATGTGTCATGGAATTGGTTTGAAATGACATTTGAATGAGTAAGCTAAATGTCAGAGGCTCTTTAAGTTAACGCTCTGTCACAGTGAAGCAAAGTTCACATCTCTTGTCCTGCACTCTCTTTATGCCGAATTAAATATGACAGATTGACACTGATGCTAATATATATAAAAAAAATCAACCAAAAAATAAAACCAATTACATTTTGTCAACTTTGTCGAGTTTTAGTTTTATCATTATAACTTTTTTTTATTCTTTGATTGTATAACCAAAATCAAACCTGTGGTTATACAATCCTTGAAGACACAGAATGTGTGGCATTCGCATTCATTAATGTCTCTAGCACAAACGATGCAG